CTTGGAAAATTACCCGGTCACTCCGTCACTCCGTCACCTGGTTATTCTGTCATTCCGTCACTCCGTCAGCCAGTCACTCCGTCACTCCGGTCTGCTCTTCACTGGAGGAGAAGTGGTGGATTGCACATCTTTTTGTCTGGAACACCATTTTTGCTAGGATGCTGCTTGACGAATGCAGCGAGCATTGTTTTAAATTAAGTCTCAGCCCGCACGAAATGGCGTAAGCACAATTAATACCTTAGGGATATAGAAACTTGTCAGGAAAAAGCAGGAGTTCAGGGTGTGTGGATCCTAATACTCAGCGGGTATGGCCGGCGGGTGGTGACCTGGAGAACACGCCAAGCACATGCTGATGTAGTTGGTGAGCCGCCGAGCCCACCATCATACGTTAGGTTAGACATTGCGCGCATCAAATGCAACCACGCACCGCACGTGAGTCGTGCGCGTCGTCGTCTAGGGCGGAGCGTGGCCCCGTGTTATTGACAGCGCTACCTTTAGCCAGCCGGGCTCAGCTGCCGCGCCACCTACCGCTCTGTGCCAGTTCACCCAGCCGGTCCCAGCTGCTGCGCCACCTACCACTCAGTGCCAGTTTACCCAGCTGGTCTAGTTGCTGCGCCACCTACCACTCTGTGCCAGTTTACCCAACCGAGTCTAGCTGCTGCGCCACCTACCACTCTGTGTCAGTTTACCAGGGTCTAGCTGCCCCGCCACATATCTTTCTGTGCCAGTTTACCCAGCCGGGCTCAGCTGCTGCCGCGACCTACCACTCAGTGCCAGTTTAGCCAGCCGGTCCCAGCTGCCGCGCCACCTACCACTCAGTGCCAGTTTACCCAGCCGGGTCTAGCTGCTGCGCCACCTACCGCTCTGTGCCAGTTTACTCAGGGGTCTAGCTGCCGCGCCACCTGCCGCTCTGTGTCAATTTACCCAGCCGGGCTCAGCAGCCGCGCCACCTGCCACTCTGTGCCAGTTTACCCATCCGGGTCTAGCTGCCGCGCCACCTATCACTCTGTGCCAGTTTACCACGGCCGATCCCACTTGCCGCGCCACCTACCAAGTCTGTGCCAGTTTACCCAGCCGGGTCTAGCTGGCCGCGCCACCTACTGCTCGTGCCCGTTTAGCCAGCCGGGTCTAGTTGCTGCGCCACCTACCACTTCATGTCAGTTTACCCAGCCGGATCTAGCTGCCGCGCCACCTACTGCTTTATGCCAGTTTATCCAACCGGGTCTAGCTGCCGCGCCACGTACCGCTCTGTGCCAGTTTACCCAGCCGGGTCTAGTTGCCGCGCCACCTACCACTCTGTGCCAGTTTACCAACCCGGGTCTAGCTGCCGCGCCACCTACCACTCTGTGCCAGTTTACCCAGCCGGGTCTAGCTGCTGCGCCACCTACCATTCCGTGCCAGTTTACTCAGCCGGGTCTAGCTGCCGCGCCACCTACCGCTCTGTGCCAGTTTACCCAGCCGGGTCCAGCTGCCGCGCCACCTACCATTCTGTGTCAGCTTACCCGCCGGGTCTAGCTGCCGCGTCACCTACCGCTCTATGCCAGTTTACCCAGCCGGGTCTAGCTGCCGCGCCACCTACCGCTCTGTGCCAGTTGAGGCCCGCCTGCGCAAGGTTGTGCAGGGTTTAGGAACAGAAGTTGGGTTGGAGAAGTGCGAACACAGTTATTTGTAATCAAATGTATGTAAGGTGTAAAGGTCTCCTGGCAGAAGCACCTGTGCAACTGTATAGAGTGTGGAGTATGTGTGTATATGTATGTACGTATGTGTGAGTATGGAGTATGTGGAGTATGTATGTACAGAGTAGGTATGGAGGATGTGTGTATAATATTCCTATTGACAAAAGGTCACGTACTTAAAGGGCTTACGCAGCTGTCCGTAAACCATCATGCAAGTGAAGGCTCGTAACGGATGAAGTTCGTCTCTCAAGGGTGCGTACTCTTAACTTAGTAGGCATTTATCACAGAGAAAGAATTTGATA